CGCTGTTTGTCCAACCTTTTCAGCGTTTTATTATAAATATGAAAATTAATCACTCAGCCAAGTCAAGGGCCCCGAAAATTTGTTGGCCATTCCGAATGGTCCTCTAATTAGCTCATTTCAAGCGGAATGCGAAGCTTGATTACCGCTGACTTTCCCCATTCACTCTTTCGCTCTTTCGAAAGGATCAAATAAATATATCGGCAACACGGAGTTGCTTAATGTTGCAGACTGGACATTAAATGTGCTCATTACTCAAGCGGAGTTTATTGAGGAATTATTGCAAAAGCAGGGAAACCGTAATAAGTCGAAAGGAAGCTGGCGTTTTTCATGATGGAAAATAAGGTATTTCATTTTTATTTTAGTTGGCTAATAAATGTTTTAAGCAAAGTTTTATTAAGCAAGGCAAATCACTAAAATGTAGTGAGCATTGGAGCGAGGAAATTAGTCTGGTATACCATAAATATACATAAGGTGTTAAAGTATATTCTTCTACGATTTCTAAGCAACTTAAATTATTTTTTCATATTTTACAGAAAGTGGAACTGAACAACCCCGGTTTCTTTCTGATTTTAATTTCTAACAGAAAGAACATTTGAGTCCTGACTTATGGTCAACGTGCCACTGTGTCTGTGACTTGTTTATTTGCCTTTTTAATGGGTCGCACTTGGCGTGATTTTATTTCAAGCTCGCAACACGCGGCGCATACGCAATATTGGCGCTTTGAATTAGGCTATGAAATTTGTGCGGCGGTAGTGAAAACTATGCCAGCAAAGGGCATTTGAGTCTCGAAAAAACCCATGCAGTACTTTTGTCAAATCATCGAGGGACCAGGACTAGAAAAACAAAAAAAAAAACAAATAACGTTGAATCCGGGGCAATAACTCTAGCTGGAAACGAAACCGAAACAAACTCAATTGGGCATGGTCGGTGAGTCCAAGTTTTTGGCTTGGTTTTATTTTCATTTTCATTTGCCAAACGGGGCCACTTGAATGCGCAATGAAGCTCGCGGCCAGAGTCAAAAAACAACAAGTTCCATAGGACTTGGCAGTCCGTACGGACCAGACTTTTTACATTTTTGCATAAATTCAACGCGCCATCCGTTTATTTTGGGTTGCACAATTTAAGCGATTTCCGTGACTATCACTGAAGATTTGTTGCCGCAGAATCTGCAGGCGAACGCTGCTCAAAATTCATAAAACGAATGGCTGCGAAATGGCTGCTGGCTGCTGGCTGGCTGGCAAAATGGATGGAAAATGGCCGGAAACGTGGGGCGAAGTGCAACAGCCGCACTCGAGCTTATTGTTGACATTTAGCGCCGGCAGCTCCAGCGGCTCGCCATTCCGCCCACGGAAATCTCCTTTCCAACCGCAATCCTAGTGTTAATTAAGCTTACAGAGCGGCCCGAACCGGCAGAATAAAGTTGTTAAGTTTTTGTCAAGCCCGTGGTTGCTGTTGTTTTAGCTGCTGGCGGCTTAATTATTTTTATACATTTTTTGCACATTTTTTGCACATTTTTTGCACATTTTTTCCCACGCTTTTCCGGCTCGTTCTGCAACTTTGTGTCCAGAGCTGTTGGCTTCTCTGGTCATCTCATTAAATCATATCAATTAATTTTTATTCCATTTTCCATTATTATTTTTAAACGTGTCGTATGTGGTGGCAGGTCATTCAAATTTGTTACGCCCGGACAATTATTAATTTGCAAAATATTTAATTGAAGCGCGTTATTTTCTCCTCATAATTGCTTTCAATCATACAATTTGCTTTAACACTGTTTTGATGAAAATTTAAAATCTCAGGTAATGTTTCTGTCATAAAAATGTCTCTTATAAGAATAAGAAAATGACAATGACATTTTTAAAGAATAATATTCTAAAAGCATACAACTTGATTTTTACGAAATTAATTTACCATCTCTCCTAATTCACTTTCGTCACCACTATCACTCAAAGTATTAATAACACCATTAAATTGTGAAAAATTATTTTTAAAAAGCAATAATAATTAAAGCTCAGTTCAATTACTCACGTTTTATAAATTGTTTAATTACTTTAATAAAAGCGCATACAATTTACTTGATTTGTATCAGATAATGTTTCATATTTTATTTCATATAACTCAGTTTGACTTCTGCGTCATAAAATAGCAAAAAAATTTTTAATGGAAGTCAACAAAAAAGATTTTGCTTTGCATATGACAACAAATGGTTTTTTATTTGGCTTTTGCTTTAAGACAGCTTATTCTGATATATTTATATATGAATTTGTTTTCACTTCGCTTTTTGACTTCTTCTTTTTTCAGCTTTCCGATTTTGTGGTTAAGCGGGGAATTTCTAGTTTGATTTGATTATGCACTTTATTTTTTTCTCCGGGGGGTTTTGTGTTTCACGCAAAACAGGCTTAGATTATAAACAAACGATGATAAGAGGCATTTAATTGGGTTGGCGGGAAAAAGATGATGAGTAAATGAAAACTTTCCCCTTTTCCAAGCTCGCACAAAATCAAACCACCAATTAGATTTAACGAATCAAGTTTTTGGAACATTACTCATTAGGCAAGGGGATTGCATATATAGCAGAAATCTAAATATAGTCGACGCTTATATATACACTATGTAGAGAACGTGGAGCAATTTAAACGGCCTAGATTTCTTGGACAGCTGTCGGCTTCCCCCTACGCACATAAATACGCTGAAAGCAATCACAATTTCTCAGCAGAGTGTAGAGAAATCTATTTTTCAATTATGTGAACAATGCGGTGCCATTTTGGCACCTCTTAGGCTTCCCTTTTTCCCTCCAATCTACACCACATTATCAACTGCCCAACCTGCCCGACCTTTTTTACTTAAATAAATAAAGATTCATTTTCTCACGAAGTTCTTGGGACTATCTCAAGCTTTGCTTGCTGATTGCTTCAATTTTCTGTTAAAATATTTGCTCACGCTTTCATGTTTACTTATCTGGCCGATTCTGACACTCTTGTGTAAACAAGCTAAAACTTTGACCAAGGTTAGTGACAAATTAACATGGACAATTACGTAGTAATTTGTGGGAAAAACAAGTGGTGTGCATGTTAGTTGATTCATGGTATTAATTTGCATTAATTCACTGAATTCATGTTACCATTTAAATCGTTTCCGTTGCTGTCAATTTTTTTGTATTTCACATTTGTAAATCAGAAATTTTTGTACAGATGGAAGACACTATTGTATAGTTGGCGTTTTCATAATTTTATGGTAATTAATTAGCCCCATAAGCCGCACATTTTATGTTACTTTATTTCCGCCTATACAGCCTTAAAATTCAATCACTTCTAGTCCACATCACACACTCCTTTGATCACTTCCTTCAGATTCTTTTCAGCTCCGCTGAGCACTCACTGAAAACACCCAAACTATTTCCAATTAGTTTAATGCATCATTTTGTCATTTCGGCAGCCAGCCAAGGCTGCTCCACATACTCGTATTATATTCATAAATGCACATCGTATATATTTTGTTTAGACAAGTGCAAGCCAAGATTCTAACCACTTCATAGCACTGCGAACAGAATGTCTTCACATGCATTTTGTTATTTTTTACAGTATTGTTCCCTTTTCCTTTTTTATAAGCAAAAAATGCTGCAACCGAAATGCCGAAGAAATATTTAGCTGGCAAAGTTTATTTTACTCTTGGCTTTGTTTCTTCTTTTCATGTTTTCCTTTTTCTTCAGCTGGCTTTCGCTGTTTTGTGGCGTAGACAAAACGGCGGCGAGCACGTTTCCGGTTGCGAACGGCACCGGAATTATAACAAGTTGTAAATGAAAGGCAAAATTTGATTACCGCCGATGTCAGAAGTCAAAGTGAGAATTGCAGAACTAGTTAATTTGAATGGGAACCGAATGGGGAAGAGCAGAGAATAAACAAAATCCGATAGGGAGAGCGAAAGTTATACGCATAGCAGAAAATAAAGTGTTCCATTTCTAACGGAAACTTGAACAATAATTTTGTGATTTATACAAATATTTATAACATTTTTTTGCATATGTGACAAATTTTATATTTTTTATATTAAGTGGCTTTCAGAAAGCCAGTAATTTTATTCTGAACAATTTGAAAAATTTGTAAAGGTTTTTTTTGAGATTTAAATTGGCATATTCAATTATTTTGCAGTGTTTTCAAAATTCCAAAAGCCAATTAAAATTGAACTCCATTGAAATTTATCTCCGTCGTATTTCATTCCGGATCGAACTTTATCTTTATCTGCATCTCTCCCCATCCAAACAGACTCTGAGCACGCGAACGTCACTTACGTTTACTCCCACTCGAAAAATGCGACGTAAACTGGATCTGTAGCGCGGCGCAGACTTTCTGGGGAATCCGGATCCGCGACCGTAACCGAAACCGAAACCGAACCGCACGTGCCGACTGACAAGCGGCAACTGAACTCAACCGCAGCTGGAGAATCGTCGCCAAGCGAAGAGCACTCGGAGTGAGTTCGAAAAAAGCAGTGGAATGAGTGCGAATTGCCGATTACCGGCGAAAGAGCTGAGCAAAACAAAGCCACCGCTGAGTGCGTTTGCGTTGAGTGAGAGAGCGGAGAGCGGAGAGCTGAGACAACAGGTTGTTTTGCCGTGGTCGGTCACTTAACCTCGTTACTCTCTTTATTCCTGTGGAGGGACACACGGGGCGTATGTGGAATATGGCTCACTCGGTGCGTATGTGTTGTGTATGGCTAAAGTTTGCCGACAAATCGCCGACAAATTGTTTAGGAACGTAGATGCTGGCTACGCACGCGACTTGGATTACCAGTTGGGATTGTCTTTAGCCCGAGCTGTGGGCTGTCACGGTGCGTATACGTGATTTTGCCTTGGCTTTTCTGCTTTTTAGTTTGCTTTGCTTGTCATTATTTTGTGTTCTTATGGCTATCCTTAGTTTTTTCGGTTCACAGGGCTTAACTAGGGAGCAACTGCAGACAGAGAAACATGGTTTCGGGAATACACCATGCAAATTTAATTGAATCGATAAAAAATATAAAACATTTGTGGCGCTGACCGCCTTGTTACTCCATGTAAATGGGGTAGTTGGAATTGACAATGCATTAAATTAACTCGGTACTAATCCAATTGGAGCGGACTAGTATCCAATTTGCATGGCAACTGTTCCTCAGTACTGTTTTCATCAGAAGGAACTGGAACATCTTGAGAATATTGCTGATTTAAATCAGACCTTACCAGACTAAGGTCATTCAGATCTAATGGCTCGTCGGAACTCGCATCCAAATCGAGAAACGTCGTAGAGATCATATTGGGATTTAGTTGGGCATCCAAATCGTTGGTATCAACTATTTTAATCAAAATTTCAAGAAGAAATTCACAAGACTTATTTTCGTAGCACATTATATCGACAATGGCGCTATTGATTGTGTACTTCAGTTTCAACAGCTCATTATTCAAGACTTCGATATCAAGCAGAGCTTTCTGGGAACTAGCCAAAGATGCGGAAATGCGACGTGCCAGATCCTCGTGCTCCAGACGCATATTGGTGGCATTTTCCCGAAGACATTCCATCCAAATAGATCGCTCGGCAATTGTCCTCCTGTTCATTGTGAGCGTACAAAATATATAGATTTTATTTAAATTTATTTTATGTATGAATATCTGATTACTTTCAGGCCGGCGAAAGTACTGGTAAATTATTTTGGATCCATAGAAGTGACACAGGAAACTAAATGAGTGGCCTGCTTGGGTGGCGCTACAATAAGATGATTGACATCAATTATAATAATTATCAGAGTAAGCCGATTAGCTGGCTAATGTATTAAACATCATGGACATTTTGCGACCCATCCTGAAGGCGACAAATCAATGTCACTTAAAACATATAATTATCGTCATTAGCCGCCCAAAAGCTTCGCACTCCTCATGAACCTAACTTTTATTATGGACCATTTTGCCGAGCTGATGGTGCTCGGTGTTGCATTCATAATTGATTGTCCTGTGGGCAAACGTGTCCTTTGCCTTTGCGCCCCTTCGCAAGATAAGCACTTAAGCTAAATGAAAGCAGATGGCTTAATATTCATTTGAGTTGCTGACAAAGATATTTCTAAGCTGCTCTGTCACTTCCTTCATCTTCGTCCTTTCTGCTTAATTTTTTATTTCGAATGTGCGAACGTAAATGAAAAAACCCTTGGTAATTGGTCAAAGCTCTTGATTCCGGTCAAAAGCAAAGGATTCCATTTTTAATGAGAAGCAAATATGTTCAGCCCTAATTGGAATAATGGAAAGTCCTGCGGGTATCTAAACGACTTGCGGTCTAGGTCAAAGTCAATGCGATGGGGGCGATTTTTGAGTGAAAACGTTCGCTTTGTTCGCAATTTAAAATTATTGTTTGGGGATGGCTTAACAAGTTGATGGAAAAGTGATGGATCATTTTAAGTGTTTTTTGAAACATTGTTTTGTGTTAATTAGTAAAGGGACTATTTTAAAACAAATACCATTAGCTAAAGCTAACGTTTTCAACTGAAATAGAAAAATAACTTTTCCTATGTGTACATGTGTTATAAACGCAATTAAATAATTTATCATTTTCAAGAGCTTTAAGTATCTAGCAAAATACTAAGAAACGATAAATAAGATTTAATATAAAAGCTTTACGCACAACATTGTCATACTTATAATTAATAAGGCGTAAGTCAATGTGAACTATAACGTAAACAAATGAAATATCATATTAAACCATCATGATAATTAAATCGTGCTCAAACAGAATTTCAACTGAAATCGCCATCATCAGTTTAACTTTCCCTCCGTTTCCTCCGTCCGGAAAAGCTTTTCCTTAGCTGTCAACTGGTAAGTGCCGAATTCTATCAATTTGTCATTCAATCATTGCACGAACGTTGCTAAGCCGACTATGCAAATTGAAGTCAAGAGGCATTAAGTCCGATCACAAAACTAAAACGCTACTCCATGACACAATTGTCAGGGTTTTATCGGCTTATTTCTATGCATGAGTGCAGACACTCACACGGACACGCTTATACCCACACAAGTGCAGGGCACTTTCTGAAAAGGAAAATGCTTTGGCAATTTTCCGAATATTTTTTTTTCCATGTCGAACTTATGTGAATGCATATATCGGAACATCTATCTTTTTTGTTAGTCGGAATTAAAAGAAGTTTATTTCTAGTGTGCATTGCAAGTACTAATAGGTTTTAAAGAGCCTTTTTATATTCTAGAGACTATTTAAAGTCAACAACCATTGCATATATTAAAGTTCAGTATGCACGTTACTTAAAGTTTTTAATAGGCAAGAATTTCTTTTTCTTTAAATGTTAAAGCTTTAAAGTTCTTTGCGACATACACCTAGCATATATACACTAAAAAAATGAATTTGTATGCAAAAATAATTGAAAGCAGTTTGATTGATTGCCTGAAATATAGCAGTTAACTAAGGTTTGGCGCTTTGGATTACTGTGCACCCCCATTTGGGGCTTTCTAAAATTGATGTGCGGCTGGCAGGTGATTTATTGCGGGTTGAAAAGCAAAGGAACTCTTTGTTTCTCTGCCTATGCTTACTTATCATGTTTCAACCAGATTTTCATACTGCGACACATATTTTGTTGAAGTTGTACAGTAATGGAATCAAGGCAACCTTTTTCACAGAAAGCAACATAATTGGCGAAAAATGCGATTAACTAGATGTTGTAGGTCACAGAGTGAAGGATGAGTTGGGTCAATACAAAGATGACAGATCCCTTTGAAATAAAATGCACAAAAACTAAAATATAAAGCAAAAAATTCCATTTTAAAATTAAGCTGTAAGCAATCACATGTTTATTTTAAAATATTTTGAAGAAATCTACTTAGTAGTTTTTAAATTTGTGTATTTATGAACATAAAAACTATCCTATCTTATTGACATGTAATTACTCACACAATTTTATTGGTTTCGTAATCTTGCTGAATAACTCACCTGAAAATAAAATGAAATTCAGTGAGAAATAAATTAGCATTTTGTCTGTTACAGATTTCGTCAAATTCTGTTCTGAAAATAATAAAAAAGAGCATATCTGCCGAAGATATTCCACTTGACTGCCCATTCTTATTAATTTTTGTGCAGAGTGAAATGAAAAAATTGCTGGGGTAATAAATTAAATAGCTCGCGTTATCTTAGAGCTTGCCTTGAACTTTTTTCTCATTATTGTTACTATTAACTATCAGTCGACGGACTCAAGCTACGCCTGCCAATTTCCGAGGCCGCTCGACTCAACTATGCCAACTACTTAAGAAAGTTTCGGGCGTTGCTACTTCGCCCACGAGCCATAACACCTATCATTTGCATCTGTCCTGATGCCGCGGAGGTAGCACGATTTACCTCAGGTTTTCCGGGGACTTTTCCCGTCCCACTACCGCAAGTCAAATGCGAAAAGTTCGATTGCATTTTTGGCGGTGCCACCATCAGTCGCCTGTGGCACGTTTCTGGTGCACTGCCACCACATGACGCATACGCCGTGTTGACTAATTAAACTAATCTCCACGCTCGATGGCTTGGCAAACACCTTGAGCTGAAATTATTTGAAATCCAGCAGCAACCGAAAACACAACACACAAGTGTACACATACATATATTTTTCACTTTATTTCTGCGGTTTAACTTTTGCTGTGATTTCAGTTTCGGTTCCCTCATTTTTTCTGCTTTTCCGCTTTTCCGCTTAGCAATTTAATTTTGGTGCTTCCCTTTCTTGATTTTTTTTGTGATTTTGTGTTGGCCTTCTCGCCGTGTTTGCGTAGCTGAAATTGTTTTCCATTTCAGGTTTTTCCGCCCGCCCATGGGTCGGAAAAATAGGTAGTTGGAAGCTGGGAGCTCGAGGGGTTGTCATGGATCCTGGTTTGCCATGCCTGGATGATGGCATGGTCGGGAGTCCCAGTTGCGACTCCCTGTTGGGTATACATTTCAAGTGGCTGTGCGGCCACAACCTGTGCGATGATAACGAGTAAATGCTGCTCAGGGCATTGCGAATTGCATTGGGTTCCCCGCAAATTTATGCTGCTTCTTTTTCGGTGGCGCCCCAAAGTTGGAATGAGTTTGCTGACAGCGAGGAAGGCAGAGGTAATCCCGTGTAGCACACGGCACATTCTTCAATGATAAGGTAGCTTTGGTTAAATTATTGGGCCGCCTGCTTAAGTTGTTTGTGTTTTTATTTAAATCAGGGTAAGTATTACTGATGCGAATTCATGTTTACCAAACTATCTACATTATGTCGAATTTGTTACAAATTTATTTTCTGTATATTTTTTTATCCCTCCTCGTTGGTTAGTATCCAAAGCGTGCAAATCGATTGCTGCTCTTCACCAATAGTAACTAATAGTTCTCTCTGTGCCCAGTTAGTTGAACTTGGCTGACCGTTGACAGAGGTCCGTGGACCGCAGTAAACGTGACGAAAATGAAACCAAAGGTGAGTTCTCCGGGTCGACCATCCAAGATGTGTTCATTCAACAATGCGAATGTCATGCACAGGTATCGATTGCGTCACTACTTCCACTTCTATCAGCAATTACGGCGACGAGGTACCAATTGAACACTCCTGATTCCGGGAGTGTTTCTAGCGAATCAAGAGGATCTTCGGAAGTAGATATGTGCGAAGACTACGATAATATAACCCGATGGACTGCTAAGCAGCTAAAGATTAATGACCATTTAAGGAACTTTCAGGCGACCTTGGGTTCGATAATCAGTTCCTTCGATACGACCAAGTCTATAGAGAAGTGCTGTTTTTATAAAAACAACACAGTGGACCTAATAATTGAAAACGTCAATATCATTGTTCAAGAAAGTGACTCTGACGATAACCCAATTGAACGCAGCAAAGATCTTTCGACGAATCTGAAAAATATTTTTTCTAAAATCAAGAAAACTTTCGTAAAGGGCGTTAACGTTTGCTGTGAAAATTTGCGCGAGGCCATCCAAAAGGAAAAGGGGGAGGCGGAAGAAAAAGTAAAGAAGATTTCTATGGAATACAAGGAAAAGTACACCGAAAGTTCAATAAGAAAGGACGGACTTCAGAAAAAAGTAAAACATCTGGAGGGCCAAATAGCAGCTGCGAAATCACGCTTGGAAAAATTACAAAACGAAGTGGGTAAAAGTAATGAGAAAACCAATTGTTGTGAAGAACTAAAACAACAATTTTCTGTTTTGGATAGTCAAATAAGCACAGCCAAAACTGAAGCAGATAACGAAATCAAAAACTTGGATAATCAACTGAAAGATATAAAGGAAAAGCTATGGAATCAGGATAAAATAACTGAAGCTATAAAAAAAACCATAGACGACGGTGGCGAAATTACTAAAAATACGATCGACAAGTCCAAAAACAATTGTGGCAATCCGAATAGTAGTCAGGATAAGCAAATTCAAAAAGACGATTTACCTAATTTGAAAGCGAAAATCGATAGCCTACAGATGCTGCTCGTAAACCTCACCAATAAAATAAGCAACTTGGACATTCAGGGATCGTCAAAAAGTTTAAGTGTAACCCTAAATACATGCCTGGAAAATTATAAAAAACTTTATACAATTGAGTCTGAACTTCAGGAAAAGATACGGCAGCAAAATCAAACATGTTCTCAGGCATCACCAGAAATGACTAAAAATGAAAGTTCAACAAGTAATCAAAGCTGTTCCTCAGATGAACAGCTGAAGGAACGTATTAAAGCACTTCAAAATGAGTCTAAGATTCTGGATGACGAACGTCAAAAGTTTCCTTCATGCTGCCAAAAAATTGATAAGCTTCAACTGCAGGCGGAACAACTAACCAATGTACTTCAGATCATGAACAAAACCTACCACGATCAAATTCAAGAGAATACAAAGAAATTTAAGGCCTTAAAGGATGCCTTGGATGAATTTCTTAACAGACAGGGCGAAGTAAATCATCCAAGAATTACTAATGCTGCCCAAGAGCAAGTAAAAAAACTTGAAAAAAAGTTAAACAAAGCCAGCATAAATTTGGAGGCATTGAAAGAAACACAAGACGATTTCGTAAAGCTTATGGAAAATGCGAACCATCTAAAATATTCGCCTAATGAGTTTGCAAAGCTACGAAAGGATTTCGAAGAGTTCCGAATCAAAATTCTCAGACAGCTAATGGATTATGAAAGGAAAAAGCTACCAGATCCATCAGCTGCTGCCAGACAGCGCGAGAGTCGACTAAAACAAATCAAAGATGACATGGATAAATTGAAAAATACTATTCAGCTCCTAGAGGAACTGCACAGGAAGGCCCAAGATGAACTCGAAAAACGGAAGACGCCATCAAAGCTTATGCTTGATTGCGAGGAAAAGTGCAAGGAAATGGAGAAATTTGGCACACTCACAGATCAAATAGAAGACGCAAAAAAGCTGCTTAAAACGAAAGCTACTACGACTACGAAAGCAACTCCGAAAGCAACTGCGAAACCAATTCCGAAACCAACTCAGAAACTTACCAAAAAGGTAGTACCAAAATATAAACCCACACGTAAGGTTAGCCGCAAGGAAAAGCCAAAAAGAAAGTGGAGTGGGGTTTTGGTTGGGGGTATCCATTTTGAACCCGAACGCCTAAAGCTTCCTTTATGGTCTGATTAAAAGATGTTGTATTTTAAATGAAATAAAAATGTGCAAATTGAATATATTTACCTGAGCAACGAGCCTTGCATTTTTCTGGTTGGAGTTAAAATGAAAAACTCCTTCACAAAGGAATACAAGCAGTTTATTTTTATTTATGTTTACATCATTGTTCATAGGTAATTGTAATCGTTCTTAGGACATATTTTGGTGATTTATAGTATGTTGTGAAGTCTTTGTTTTTTCTGAAATTGTAAAACTCCCCTCGCAGGCTAATGGTAATAAGCATAGCAGGCAAATCGATTGCTGGTCACTGCTCTTCACCAATTGTAACTAATAGTTCTCTCTGTGCCCAGTTAGTTGAACTTTGCTGACCGTTGACAGAGGTTCGTGGACCGCAGTAAACGTGACGAAAATGAAACCAAAGGTGAGTTCTCCGGGTCGACCATCCAAGATGTGTTCATTCAACAATGAAATTGTCATGCACAGGTATCGATTGCGTCACTATTACTTGTGATAACTGCAATTACGGTGGTGAGGAACACACGTGACTACGGAAATATTTATAATCAAATAAGAGCACCACCGGTAAAAAAACGGTGTGATGCCTACGATGACATTTCGAAGTGGATAGATGCGCATGTCAATCTTAGTGCCCAGTTGAGCAAATTTCAGAGCGATCAGGCTGCTATACTAAGCTATTTAAAAAAAACGCCGTATTCAAAGACTTGTCGCTTCTACGAAGAAATCACTCTGAATCGAATAGTTGAAAAGGCCAACCGCATAAATAAAGAAAGTGGAGCTGAAGTAGAAAAGCTGAACAGCAGCGGACATCTTGGAAACGATCTGGAAAATGTTTTACACCAAATTAAAAAGTTCGTTCCCAAAGGCATTAGGCGCTGCTGTGAAAACTTGACTAAATTAATAGAAAATCATAAAGAGGATTTACAAACAAAAATAAGGGATCTGCCAAACAAATTAAGTGAGACAGAATCCGGAAAATTAAATGAAAACGACTCCATTCAAAACAATCTAGGGCACCTAGAAAAACAATTTGAAGAAATTAAACCACTTTTTCAAAAGTTAAAACAAAGTTTTGGCGATGAAGAGCCAAATACAGAATGTTGTAATGGCCTAAAAGAATCGATTCAGGCTTTGGAAAATAAGTTAAGGTTAATCAAGGGCGAAGGAGATAAGCAATCCCAACAGATAGAAAATCAGCTAAAAGAGCTTAAAGATAAAATACGGGAAAAGGTAGAAATGACGAATGTTTTTTGGAAGACTTTAAGTCAGCGCTCTGAAAATATAAAAAATATGCTTAGCAACTGCAACAAAAACTGCGTAAATAAAAATGTTTCGACGGATACAAATAACTTTCTTGACCTGGAAAAGAATTCAGAAACCTTACAAAAACTCGTCGAGACATTTTTCACTAAACTTGGCGGCCTAGACACCATTAATTTAAATGTAACCCTCAACATTTGCCAAGAAAATAATGAAACGCTAAGCAAAATCCAATCTAAAATTGAGTTTTTGCTTAAGCACAATTCTAAAACTTGTTTTGAGGGCTCGTCCGGAGGTTCCGAAAGTACTAGTCTTTTGATTATTAAAAATTGTTCGTCTAATGAAAACCTACATAACAGTATTGCAGAGTTGCAAAACCAAACTGAAAACTTGCGCAATGAACTAAAAAAGTTTCCGAAATGCTGTCAAAAAATCGACAGCCTTAGCTTGAATGTTGGAAAACTAGAAAAACAGATGAAGGAAATGAACCAGACTTACAATGATCACATTAACGCTAACGCAAAACAGCTAAATTCTATAAAAGAGAACATGGGTGAATCCTTAAGAAAGTTAGGCGATAATCATACCGCTGATAATGAAAGCCTTTCGAAGCTGGCAAGAAAACTTAAAAAAGATCTCAAAAAAGGTAGTTTGACCCTAGGCTTTCTAAAAGAACGCCAAGATGGGTTGTTAAAGGATAGGAATACAACTCAAATTTCATTATACTCTCCCGATGAGATGAATGGTCTGAAAAAGGACTTAGATGAGTTCAGACAAGTCATTGATGGAAAGCTAAAGGATTTGGAATTAAAGAAGCAAAGCAAAATAGACGACCGTCAGCGTCTCGAAAGATTCAACACAGAAACAAATCAGGATCTAGATAAATTGAATAAAATTTCACTTGTCCACAAAGAACTAGAAATGCGGATCAAAGAGCAGATAGAGGGGCTGATAAAGAAAGCAAATGAAATGCTTGAATGCAAAAAAAATTGCTCGAAAATTGACACGATGAACGATCTCATGGACCAAGTTGAAGACATGGAAAAGATTCTTAAAAAAAGTAAAACATAGCTTTCCACGTCTATTTCTGATGTAAGATCTATAAGACTAGCTAAATATGCTATTTTTTCTTTTTTTTTTTTTAAATTTATGATTCTTTTAAAATTATAATGATCAGTTGATAATAAATTTCTTTTAAAAAACCAATTTTTATTATTTTCTTAATTTGTTTCGGCCCATCATATGTTTTAAATTTTTTCCACTATTCCTCTTTGTATCTATAATTACATTTTAAGAACTTGTAGTATTGCTCACTGAGTCGTCTGTCACAGCTGTGCTAAGGTAAATGTATATTATGCTACTACAAATAGAATTTATAAAAATCGACAATGCCCTGGACATCCTCTACTCCATGGAGGAGGATCTGTACAAGTGTCTGAGTTCTGTGCAGGACATGATTCGGAAGTACAATGCTCCCGGACGCTACATCATATCCATGGAGCCCTTCGCTGAGGACTTTCCACTGAGGAACAGCAAGTCCACGGACTTGGATGCGACGTCCATGCGAAGTTGTGACTCCGAGATGGACATGCTAAGCCAACTCTATGGGGCCCGAAGTACCCAGGAGCTGGACGGGTCCTACGTTGAAGTGCGCTATAAGTTCATCAAGCTGAAGCGTGACATCGAGGGTACCCTCACCCATTTTCTAAGGATCATTGACTGTGCGGATCGCCAAGAGAAGATTTCACATCGCGTTCTGAAGTACTCGCAAAAGGGCCAGAGGAAGCTGTGCAGACATTAGGAATGCAAATTCCCGCCAACTATTCCATCAAACTCTGCGAGCGTGTGTAAACTGCAAATTGTGTCGACACTTTGCAGCTTTTATTAAAAATTACTGTCACCATTAGCCGAGTTGCCCGATGACTTTCAGAGAAAAAGAGGTTCAGGGGTGAACTTTCCCAAACTCATTTGGCCTGACATGAAAATGACGCAAAGTTTTTTATCAGAGCCTCAGTTTTTCTTGCGACACAAGTTTCGCCTGACGTTAAGCACGACGACGATGATGACGATGATGAGGATGATGACGATGATGTTGGTGGGACAGTAACAAGTCAGCTGCATGTTTATGAGCACGACAATGGGTAAATACAAATACGGACATGCGAGAGAATATGCACGGGAAACATGAGAAATTGCCAGCGCAAAACTTGAGATAATGTAATGCAAAAGTGGCCCCGGACCAGACGCAACTTTTCCATAATGCTTTGCCAACTTGGCTCCGTGTTTGTGCTTGGTAATATATTTGCGAGCATTATTTTATTTTGCATACCTGTTACTCGTAGAGCAAACGGGTATGCTAGGCTCGTTGTGAAGTGTGTAACATATGAACTTACAGGTTTCGATTCTACTAACGATTCTACTGCATGTTTTGCTGCATGTGCATGCTCACCGCCCGTGCAATTTATTTAGCGGGGTATGCGATAGTCGAGGTTTTTTTTCATTTTCCCCGACTTTGTCGAAAGGGGAGTGGCATGCCCACACTTCGTTAGAGTAACAAGTAGCTGGTACAAGGACCGGACTCCTGGCCGGCAAACTGGACAGCTGCAAGGACATAAAACAGTGAAGTTTTGCATATTTAAAGTAATATCAAGGGGGAAAGCAAACTTTTCTTTTTCATTTTCATTATTATTATTTTCTTCTTTTCCTTGGTTTATTACCCCAAGGGTCATGAAGTGTGTGCGGTCCATTGAATAGAGGCATCAGGATCAAGAGGGTTTGGCATGGGGCTCAAAAGGTGTTCATTGAGTGAATGCTGCGGTCACTCTTTGTGATGAAATGGTTGAAATGTTTGCCAAACAAAAAGGTAACCAGCACTCATAAATAATGATGAAAGGAAATAAGAGGAATAAAGGAGGACCTGCACCTTTAGCCTGGAACTTTATTTAATTTAGCCTGCTTCTAATCAAGCTGTCACCTTTAACTATACCCGTATACCTCGTACAGTAAGAGGGTATGCTAGATTCGTTGAAAAGTATGTAACAGGTAGAAGGAAGGTAAATCTGTAGATATAGCTTTAGTACAATTAAATCGATTCAAGGAAGCACAATCAAATGAAAAATAAGCAACACTTTTGATTCTCACCTACCAGTTACGTATTTTCACAAATACCTGTAACGGGTATCAAAATCGTTTGCCCAGTATTTCAGTTTCGGCTGTTATTTATACACTTCTTGGGCCCAATGGAGCCTGAGCAAACGTTCGCCATTAAACATAGCTTTATGGGGCCTACATCTCTGCACAGCCATCGATTGATATGAGTATGGGAATTTATTAGCACATTAATGGCCCAGCCAGTCGACCTGGCCCCATAATGTGGAATTCTCAGGGCAGTATTTGGTTTTTGCCATTCCAAGTGCATCAGAAGTGCTTTAAGCATGCCCACTACCAATTTGTGAAGGACCCTTGGTTGCCAAATCGAAGCGGCTCACTGGCAACTTCAAATAGCTGGCCGAAATCAAAGTCGAAAATGTGCAGGAACCGCCAAATTGTTTTGCACGTTTAGCCGCAAATTGAGTCCGGATTACCCTTTTCCGCCAACCTCATACTCAGGCTAAGTGTATCCGGTTTAGGCATTTGTTCAACACTAACATGAGTTGCTGCAAAAACCTCTGTTTCTGGGTTGGCCAGTCGCAAAGAGCTCCTCGATTTGCCATCCTGCTTGTGCTTGTGGCAGACCATTTAGAAAAGATTTCCCGAACAAGTTTGTTTAATTAAGACTTCCTGCGGGCCAGTTGATTGACTTTAAGTGCCGGCAACTAACCGAATTAATGTGGCAAGCTCCCAGGCGATTTGAGATCCTCGGACAGGGTCTGGGGAAATTTAATCCAGAAGTTAAAGTAGCCAACGAACAAATATCTGTAAGATTCGTATCGAGGAAGCTCTATTTAAATGGTGGAACACATCTATAGAGTATGGTGTAAGTTTCATTTCAACAAATCATTTAACAACTGGCTAGACTATACATTTTACTATAAGTTCCTGTTTACTTGGCACATTCGCCCAAAAGGAACTAACTAAATTAAGGGAACAAGCCGAGAAAAAGGCTCCAAAAGTAGACGACAAAGAGGGGGAAAAAACTTTGCAAAATAACCACAGTTCATAAATATGTAGGAATCTTCCGAGTGGGCAAAAAGGGAAAACACGTTAAGCACTTCCGTATGAATAAATATTTAATCAATCAATTTCGACAATTTTCCCTTTCAGAGCTCGTCAAATGCATAAGCAGAATGGATACAATTTCATTTGCCGAATGATGATGATGATGATGAGGGTGATCAGGATGCCTTTGTTGCTGTCGTTGGGGCATAAAACAAGTCAGACACATAAAAGTAGATTTGATTGAAATGCTAATTTCCACAGATTACCAATGGGAAAATGCAGACTCGATTTCAGTGTTGCTATTTTGTCTATTTTCTGCACAGAATTCGACAATTTAATCTTTGCAAATAAGATAGATAGAGAAGCCCGATTGAATGCGAATATCAGCAATAAGCAATAAAAATACACAAACAAATATTTAGAAAATATAAAAACGCTTGACTATATGTTCAACAATATTTAGATTTATTTTTGTTCCTCTTTGTAAACTGTTATACTTTTTCCCGCTGCTCTGGCTGATGTGTTTCTATTTTTTGAAATAGTTGCCAACAGCGCTGTTTAAGCCGACAGAAAATGGACAGTCATTGAGAGTTAGTCATCAATATCATCATCAGCATCAGTATGGCCATCAGGCAGAGGGCCTTGAAAAATCTGTTGAGTGAGGACCTGCTGGCCAAATGACAGGACACTTCTCAGTCGAAACCCATCAGCCGCAGCCTCGGTATCGGTTTCAATTTCAGTTTCGATTTCAATGCGATTGATTTCCCATGAATGCCCGTTTTCCCCGCCGCCTTCCACTTTTCACTTTCCCAGCTGCGATTATCGAAACGTTATTAGTTTGTCGGCTGCCTGTGACAGGTTACACTGAACTTGGGCATTTCTCCATTTGGGTCTCCTCGGCGCTCCACATTCTAAATTGTGTGGGGACGGCCCCAAGTCAGGAAAAAAGAGTGGCGAGCTCTTGCGTGAATTTATGGGAACAGATTCAGGGCTGGCTTTTTCGGATTTTGTGGCATTTTGTAATTGAATTTCATGTGGGGCTCATACTGAAATTTTAATGAATCGATAACGTTGGATCAGAGGAGGCGTGTTTCTATTGGTTCAGACTTCAAAGGCTGCTTTTAATTGATTTCCGTCTATTAGTATTACATTGTACTTAAATTAATATGCAAGATATTGTCTCGAAACAGAAATCGTGGATCGTAAAGATAAAATGCTTTTGCAGTTAAGATGAACCTTAAAATTTAGCTGTGTCTGATTAAATCTGTTATAATTTGCCATTCCATGCACGATTACTAACACTATGCATAAGTGTTGCAAAGAAACAGAAACTACAAGTTGTCTGCAAGCCTTCTGCACCAGCGGAAAAGTTTCGAATTTATCCTGGCACTGAGTGCAGTTCTGCAGCCATTTGCCCACTCAGGCAGCCATTCATTCGACCGAGTGAGTGCACTCAGTCAACTCGGTTATCACACACATTGCGTAGTCACAACATTGGGGCAAAGTTTACTTAAGCATGAAGCTGGCAGTTGCGACAGAATGCGACTGTGAGCCACTGGAAATGCGAGGACTATACGGCTGTGGACTTTGACAAACTGCTACAGGATTCGTGGAGTAGCAAAAAGGGATGCCGAGGAGCAGCTGCCACATGCCACAGTTGCACCAGTTGCAGTGATAAACGCACTGAACAATTGCTGCCGTCGAGATTTAGCAGCTGACAAAATGCTTGTGTCATTTCTGCAAGTTAATAATACAAATATTTCATGTAATTTAACGCTGTTGCAACGGCAAATTATGTTTGGCTTCATTTATTGACCAGATTCGGCCACAGCCTTCTGTCGAAATTTGTCGCAAATACTTTTTGCCTATATCTCGTGCGGCAGCCGACGAACTTGCAGAATGTCCTTCTTTATTTATTGCTTTTAACATATTTGTTTGGCTCCAAGGCAATTCGTCTTTGTATGTGAATGTGACGAAGGGCAAATGCAAATTTCAGTCTCAAATTTTCCGACTTTGTCTTTCGTTTGGCTCCCCGGCAAAGTTTTCGCCAAAACAAAAGGCCCCCTGACAAAGTGCAGCTGCTCGAAATTGCTTGGGGCAACATTTTTGAAGGACGGTCAATGAAAAGTTTATTGTGCGCCGAAAAGAAGTCATAGTTTGTGGGCCGACCGAAAGCAAGTTTCGCAATTGTGTGTGGAAAGCCACTAATAAATTGCAAATAGCGTTGGAAAATGCACTAAATTTTGGCGACAGGGGTCCATGTGAGCCGTTTTTAATGTTTCGCCTTTTAGTTTATTATACGGCATCAGTTTTTTAAATATTTAACTTGGCTAAATACATCATTTATTAACAAATAACTTTAAATGTGTCTCCGATCTGTTTGTGATTTGTGAAGTGGGCTTCCAGAGTTTACATAAAATTTAAAAATTTTTGAACATGGAAATTTAACAGTGTTCCGAAATCATTCGCTGGTGGCTTCGTCCCTTTGTTCGATGTTATCAAATCTCATTGGATTATCCCCTCCAGCCAACTTGTCGGCATTTTCGACTACAGCTGCTGATGGAATCCGAGCCTGGAGTTTTCTCTTCATCTGAACCACGGCCGAGTTGGCCAGGCTTACGCGTTTCATGATTCGGTTTAGACGCTCCTGAATGGTGGAAAACATCTGCTCGGAGAACTGGGCATCCTCAGAGGTATCCAGAGGCACCACGGCTGTGTATTCGTTACTATTGTTTTGGCTGCCCTCTCCATAGGGCTCATAGACTTCCAGGTCTTGAAATTCATCAGATCCGTCGTCCGACATATTGGCAAAAAATATTTTAGGAATTTAAATAGTTATGCAGGAGCTGCGAAACAGAACAGACTTCAGAGCTAATAGATGCGACACTGAATTTATAGTGACAACAAAATCTACAGCACATTGTTTCTTATAGTAACTGTTTAAAATAGGTTAATAATAATCCAAAGTCTAATTTAATAATTGAGTACACCTTGCTGGGGAATTTTTAATTATCCGAGATATTTCTGAAACTAACGATTTGATTAACTTAAAATTAAGAATAATGAAACCTCTTGAAACCTCTCAAGAAATCGCAGCCCACTTGGCATGTAATCAAGTGTGAAATGTGCTCAGCAGGGTCATAAAATCAGAAATCAATTAAAGCCAGTTAAGAGTGAGGAGGCAAACGATACGGATGCGGATATGGATGTCGAGAGTCGAAAGTTGCCAGGGCACAAGGCAAATAAATCTCAGACTCTGCCCAAAAAGGGCGCACTTTGGGTGGCAGTGGGGCTTAAAGTTCCCCCAGCTGAAGGAAGCGAGCGAAATCAAAGTCTATAACTTAACGACTGCAATGAGAATGATGCTGATGACGATGTCGATGATGTGAAACGCCCTCAAGGTCCACCCCATTCAGACCATTCCACCCACAGACCGCCGCCATTCGGGGAAAATCCCTACGCAGAAAAAGAGACAAAAGGCGAAAGAGACGGAAATGCAGCATTCATTCTCTCGCCATTTTCCTCTTAACCCGCCCGTTTTCCCATGGCTCTTTGCCATCATCCTTTCTGTGAGTTTTTCGCCTCCATGTGCTAAATATTTGCCAGCCATTTCTTTATTTTCCTCTGGCCTTTGTCGCCAAACTGGATTCCCATCTTGATACCCATCGCTCTGCCACATCGTAATAAAGCAATAAATCTGCTGAGAACTGCTCCTCCTTTATAATAAATTCCGTTACGCATAAAAACACTTACAAATGAGTTTTTGTTCAATGGAATAAATGGCATGGCACTACACATACACTTGTTATATACGAGTGTGGAGCTGTAACTACGAATGCATGTTCATGACTGCACCCAGTCGGATTCACAAACTTGGCTTTCTATATATCCGGGATTCGCTGAATCCGCTATTGATAATGTCATTTGGCATTTGGCTTGTGGCAAAGCTTTGACTTTTGCGACGTCTTTCACTTTGTGGGCTTTCTATTGGAAACTCGCTGCGCTGCTAAGTAGGCAACATTTTTCAGCTCTCTCTGGTTTATTCGCTTGTATCTTCGGGCGTAGTTTGGTGGGGTATAAGTTTTTGTAAATAAATAGTAGTAGTAAGCTCAAAAGGTACTGGTATAAAATGTTAAATTTAAATTAGGATATAAATTTACATGGAATATATTCAAGGTAGCTCGTTAAATATAGGGAAGCCTTACATTCAATATTTATACACAAGTTATAATCCCTAACTGGTTATAAGTTTTAGTAGTTTAAGGTTTGTTTTCTATAATTTACAGAATACGAGCTTCCAAAAACGGGATGGTTATTAAAAAGTTGTGTTTATATATGACAAAAATAACTTTGCAAAATCCTTGCCTGTAATTTTGTTACGCACATATTTCACATTAAATATTAAAAACAACAACTTGCGATCAATCTAAATTACTGGAACTGTACATATGGCCATGAAATAACCCTCTTTTATCAATACCCATGTTTATGCCAAATGGTCCCATGCTGTTGCCTAATCTGCTGTCCAAATCACTCTTGCAACATGTTGCACGGCCAACTAATTGATGATATAATTGAATGTTCAGAGACCATTTCCCAGTTCGTTAGGCTGCGGCGCTGCCCCAAAAACCATATCCCATATCAGGCACAACATCTGTCAGGCCCATCACAATAAATAACCATATAGTTATAGTTGAGTTTCCTGCATTAAAACGCCATCAGGCTGGAGATTAATGTGAAAAGGTCACGCCCAGCTCCTTGGGAGGTGAAAGCCATTCACTTCAGCAAGACATTGACATTTGCTACTGGCTTTTCCTTTCAATTTCGCCACATCCTTTGTTTTTGCTGCTCCGGCTCTGCTGTTTCACTTTTGTGTGCCTTTCCTGCCGCAGGACGCAGGACGCGCCAGATGAGACACGTGACAATGTCAGGGCGAGCATAAATGCCGTGTGTCAACATCCAGGTCGCAAAAAGAACTAAAGTGAAAATGTCTTTTTATCAACTTTCGGGAAAGCGACAAACAAGTGCACCGCAAAATTTTCTACGAATTGGTCACGGCATCGGTTTATTTTGCTTACTGAACTGTGAAAACAATTATATCTTTAAGTCCAATGCATAGGGATTCGAAAATATTGTGCTTTAATTTTCACTAAATAATGTTCTTCTAACCGGTTTTCTTTTAAAGAAATGTTTAAGTGCCACATCATTTTTATTGTTTAACATCTGGGTTTATAAAAGTTTCTAATCCTTTGAGCAACAGATTCGTTTTGGCAGCATTTCGTTAGCTCATGTAGGATTTATATTATTTTTGAATCTTTAATTGATATGATTTCCTCTACGTGCAGCTGTGCTCGCGCTCGTTTTTTGTTTTCGGGGCTTTTTTGCTGTAGTTTTTACATTTGTCTTAATTAGGGGGGTGGCGCTCTGAGAAATAGAAGCCACTTGAAGAAATGTGCTTGAAGGGCCATCAGCTGCCGCTGGCACTCGGCACTGAAATGTCTGACTTTCTCCGGGCTTTCTCCTCGCAGCATTTCTCCGCCCTACTGGGGCACACGTGTTCGACTTAATGGCAACACTTTCGCATCCTGCGAGTCCTCGTATGCCGCTCATGTCTGTCTGTAATTTATCTGGCTGCTGGGGTAACACAACATTCCACGCTGTCCCTTTGCCTTCCGACATTTTTGCCTAGCAAATTTGTTATTACGTTGAATTAAACTTGAAAAATGTGTTAATGGTCTCGTTCTCCGCTGTTCACACCAACTGCGGCTCCGCAGAAGCAACTTAATTAAATTCCACAATGATTTTGTTATTTCGCCTTGTAGCAACAAGGCATCTTCTTGCCTAACTACAATTACCAAAGACGCCGGAGCGCAGCGCACCACATGGCGTATGTGTGATATTTTCGTGTGCTTCACTTTTCCTTAAACGCCGCAACTTCTAACTTCATGCGTTTTCTCTGTTTTTCCTGCTATCCCGTTTAATTTCTTGTCCTTAATGAGCTGTGAAAAGTGTTTTGTGCGAGAATTGGTAAGTTGTGGCAGTTGAGGCAAACTGTGTGAAAAATTAATGATGATCACAAAATAAGTTTGAGGTCATGGGTCACTAAGAGTATAAAACGAAATTGGCAGAAATTTTCTAAAATCACAATAGATTCTTCAACATTAAGCGCTTTTAAATTGCTAGCATCTAAACTCGCTGCAATTTTTCAGAGAAGTTTATACAATAAATTCATAAAGTATATATGAAATGCATACAGTATCTTAAACTGTTTTCAATAAGAACTCGCCAGGACGCAGAGCAATTTAAAAGCCCTCCTTTCCAAAAACATTTTCTTGTATTTTTTTATTTATTTTGCATTAAAATGTATTTGGGTTTTAACTTTTAACTGTGTCGACATGAAAATGGTTTTACTGGTAATTAAAAATAAAACCTGCAGATTTATGTGGAACGGAAGCTCAGGAAAAAACACGAAATAAAAAGAAGAGAACATTTTCCAGCGACCAACATGGACAATGCCACACAGATCCCACAACTGAATCAGAGGCAGCAGGGTGACTTGTTGCCGGAAAAGCTTTAAGCCGTAAGCGGAGTTAACTTTAATCAGATGGCAATTAGCAGGCAGCGGAAGCAGAATGGCATCGCAGGGGCTTCCAAAGGGGACATGTGGGGTTAAACATGGCTACTTTTTTCGTTTTAAGGACTCATCAATCAGCTTATTCTTTTAACCTTGGCCGAACTCACTTGCTCCAGTTTACCACTCACGAATCCTGAGAGAAAAAACGGATTACCGCAAAAGGAAGTGTGGCCTTTGGCTTATTGCATTTTTCAAGTGTGGCCAAGTGCTACAATTATTTATTGCATACCAGAATAACAGCCAAGGACAAGCCGCCGTTGAATGATTAATATGTTGGAGCTTAAAGTATTTCGCACACAGTATTTTACATATTTTAAAAACTTGGCAATTTTCCTGCCCTGGGGTAGCTAGAGTTTCCCATTACAGTTGCATGTGGTAAAAATGCGGCCAATTTGCATTTGAATTTGTGTTCCCATTTGCCGGTAACCGTATTTGTATTTGTGTAGTTGGAAACATTTCTAAAAGATGATAAAAAGGGTGTGGTTTTAGCCGGGATGATCATCGTGATGATGTTGCAGAAACGTGCGTTTGTGTAAATGAGCTGCGAAAAAAGGATGGTTTTTTGTGTGCCGTTTGCTGTTAGTTTTTGCGTACTTTTCCTATTTTTTCGGGACAGCCAAGTTTTCCTTTTGTTTGTTTGTGAAGTCTAACATCAACATATGGTTTTTTCTGCTCTTGTTTGTTTTTCCTGTTGAACGTCATTGAATGGAAAAGAGCCTGAAGAAGAGTATTCCGGCCATGCTGATACAATTTTAGATTGTTTACCTTGTTGTCGCCTTGTCTCGAAACTTTTTCCTTTCTGCTTCTTTGGTGAGAAATTGGTTCTTAAGGACAGGATAGGATATATTCCTTTGCTGATTGGAACTTTTCCCCTCACACATTTAAGTGAAAGTAAGCCCTAGTATTATAATAATTTGTTCTTTAAGAGCTCATTCCCTAATTTGATGTAATTTACTTGCCTTTTCCACAACGCCGCCCATGAGACTTGGGCATTTAAATTAAATTGAAAGTTTTTCGTCGACAGCCGAGTCCTTGTCAGATGATTTATCATCATAGTCCTGTGGAAAACTTTCATCAGGCAAAAGAAGAAGAAGGCAAAAGGTCTTTCGCTCCCAAAAAATCCTCATTCTAAGCGAGTTCGCCAGGCGAGGCACGCACTTGCAGCTGCCCAAAACTTGTGAGTTTTTATCTTTTTTGTTCCGATTGTTGAGTGCCTGTGTGAACTTAGGCTTATACAATTTATATGTATATTTTTATACCCGTCACTCGTAAAAGGGTATATGACATTCCTTGAAAGGTGTGTAACACGCAGAAGGAAGCGTTTCCGACCATATAAAGTATATTGATTCTTGATCATAACTCAAGTTATCTTAATTGGATTTTGAAGTGGCATACCTCTAAATCTTTCTGTCAAAATTCTCTAAAAATCTGCACATTTTTAAAAAATTCTTAATTTTTTTTTCAATTTTATCATTTTGTTTCCCAATTTCTACCGATATTCCAGAAAATGTCGAAATTTCTCGGTTGCACTTCCACTAGCTGAGTAACGGGTATCTGATAGTCGGGGAACTCGACTATAGCATTATATATTCTTTTTTTTTTTGGGGAGCAGGATGACACTTTATCATGTCTGTGACGGTGACCGGGATGGCCAAAATCGGAACCCAGGCAGCCCGGAGCACACAAATTGAAATGTGCCTGTGTCAGTCAGATTAAATGAGGCAAAACGCAGCCGCAGGCCCAGCAGGATGTATTTGTAGGTGGCCCGAAGCCTACAAGTATGGCCGTAAATCCAAAAGTCGCTTACCCGCAACTCATGGCCTATTAGGTCGAACAAGTATGAAGTCTCGGTTTTGAACTTTTCCTTTTGGGCTTCCCAATTTCACTTTCTTTCCGTGGTATTGTATTTGACTTTTGTGTGTGTGTGTCTGTCCTTGACAAATATTTAGCCAAAGTGATTTTTGACAGCATCATAATAAAGGCTGCCGAGCGCCCAAGGAATACTTCATGCTTCGTTTGAGCCTAATTTTCGATTGACCCGACATCAAGGCCCATGCGGCGTATGCGCAATTTGGTAGCAAAACAAGCCCAAGTGCCGCCAATTGAATTGGAATGGCGGAAAATTTGAGCAATGCTCTAGCGTCAAATTCTGGTTAGCGTTTTAACGCATCTAAATGTCATTCGATTATATTTTATTTTCCTGCTCCCCAAAGCATATAAAGTTGGTATCAAATAAACGGCGGGCAACAAAGGTTGCGACACGTTACAATTTTGGTACTCTAAATTTACACTCTATACTGTGATGTGTAATATGGAAACAATGAAAAGTGAAATATTCAATTGGTGTCTAGAAATTAACGTAGTCTAGCTCCCGCTGCAGGCGCAGAGTCAGCCGAAGCTTCTTCAGCTCACTGTCGTATTTTGCCTGACAACGATCCACATTGACGGGATGGGGAAGCGGTAGTCGCAAGCGGTACAAACATGTGCCCAAATCCAATTCCTTTTCCTGCAAGCTGAGCGACATCTTGTCCGCAGTCATTTCCTCGTCCGGCAGGGAAACCTCCACAATGAGGTCCTCGCAGCTCGCCGAGGATCCAGTGCGATTGCCCATCTAATATATATATTTCGCATGTTACTAATCCGTGCTATTTAAAGTGGGAACTGTTAGACCTGCAAGAAGACATCCTCGGTGCCCACGGCCTGGCGATAGGTCATCGTATACTCGGGAGTCTTCCGGGTTTCCAGTATATCGTTGTCTTCCTTCTCCTGGCGATCCTGCCATTCCTCCAGACTCTCAGGCTGCTTTTTCTCTTCCTCCACCAAGGGCGTGCACAAAGGATTGGGCTTCTTTTTCTTCTTAGCCTTGGTGGCGTCTTCCGTTTTGGGACGTCCAATGCCACCAGGATCTAAGCAAGGAGTTTAGGTTTAGCTGAGACCCATCTAATAGCAACCCATTTTATTTACTCAGCTTGTGGACGACCATGGACTCCTCCTCATCCTCACTGCTGCTGTAGTCAATGCCGCCTCTTCGCTGATTGGGATTCAGGAGGTCCTGCAGCATCTTCAGCTGTTCGGGATGTTCAAAGATCGACATTTTGATCGACACTTTATTGATAATCAATGGCTCTTTCACACTTTTGCACAAGTTATAAACAATTTTTTAGCCTTAGCTTTTCGACAGGTTGAGCAGCACTCGACCGAATGGGGAAAATCGACAACTCCGTTTGTTAGCTAAGCTTTACAACTATTTTCCAGGCTACTATATTGATATATTAGGTATTTCACGGGGAGAAAAATGTAAGGGCTTCTTACCATTAAGGCAAAACAACTCAGGACAGTGCCATGTTATTTTTTATTTGTTTTCCGAGTGTATTAACCTTCCTCATTTTGTTTATTTAGTTGCCCAGGCAACGTGATTTGAAATTTCCTGGCAACGTGGAACATTCGAGAGCTGTTCGTTTCCAAACAAGCAGAAAATGAACAATGGTTATAGGGTCCCCAGTTGCCCTATTCAACAACAGTTTGCCACCGTTAGCGACATTTCACTTTCAACTGGCCGGCGAAACTATGGGACCCACTTTAGGCATTTCAATTAAAAACTTGGGCGGCCCATTTAGTGGCAAACTTTTTTCGAGGCAGCCAACTGTGCTCGAACAAAAATATTTCACTTGTCAAAAACAATTGTTTTGTGAATTATAAATTGTGTAATTATTGTTCCAGGCTTGACCTTTCCTCCTGGTCATGGCCAGCACAAATTATGAACAGCGAAACAGGACAGAAATTTGCATTTTTCACGCGCGCCCCTCGAGTGGCGCAGGGAAACGCTAATTTGACTTTCAGGCAAATCGTAGGGTGGTCGACACGAAAACGTGGCCAAGTTAACAACACGATTCTGGCCAACAGCGTGGCCCTTTCACAATGGCCCAGACCGCAGCGGGGCACCCAGTTTGGCATTCGACAAAAAGGATTCTCGCCTGTGGGCTGCTTCTGTGCCGGGTACGTGTTTAATTTGTTTAACACGAGCTGTCGGCGAAAGTGTAGTGTCCTCATTCTAAAGGATTTTGCTCCTTGTTCTGGTTCAATGGCGACCACTTGACAGTTCTGGCCGGGCTTAAGCCGACCACGGTCCACCGACCATGGCTTTGTCATTTGCAGCTTGGGTAAACGTGGCACCAACCCGGCTTGCAAGGATGTTGGCTCAAAAAAGGATATGAAATGTATCCAGAACACTCTTAAGCTGCTTTTGTGGCAATCGCAGCACAAAACGTCTAAGCTGAGATTATTTATACAAATATATATTTTTTTAAATTGCAGCTTACGTTGTTATCAACTTTATTGTTTATCATATGAATATTTTTAATATTTACTAAATCAAAATTACATTAGACGGTATTATAACATATTTTTAACATATTTGAAGAGAGAATACAAGTTATACACTTTATTCCGTTAAATATTCAATTGTTTTATTATTTTTATGGCATTTCAGTAGTATACATTCCTAAATTTTATTTTTAAATATTTAGTTGACTTTCCTCCCAATGCAATGAAATTTTAAAGTATATACATACGCATCCGCATCCCATTCTGATGAGTCTACTTTCACTCATCGGCAGAGGAAAAGCCACTGAAATCTGTTTCCCCAAAAGCAGGGCAAACATCACGTAACAGAACTTTCACCTTGGGCTGGCAATGCAATCCAGCTATCACTGTCAACAGAGGGCATTCGTTCGCATTGGAATGCATCCCAGGATATGGGATATATGCCCGATCCCCAGCTGACGTCACGCATCCAGACAATGAACACGAACCCATGGTGTAATTGTATTCCGCTTGTCGCACACATTTCAATGAACTGCAGATGGAAGGATACAAGAAAACAAAAAAACCCCGAGCCACCAAAAAAAGGCCACGCAAATTTGTGTTGACTGAATACACAAGAACGACTGTCCCCGGAAAAAAGAGCGAACCCCTGAACCCACCCGGTTTTCCCCTTATAGCCCTAAGCCCAAGGCCATTGCCAAATAGATTTCTGTTTCAGTCGCATATGTAGGGTGTTGGTGGGGGGAAGGGCGGGGAAATGGGAAAGTAGGGACAGCAGCTGCAGCGAGGCTAAAAGTGAAAGCGTTTTCCGCATTGTGTTGGCAGCTGGGACGTGTCCTGCCCCCCATTCCGCCCCCTCCTAAGGAATGTGATTTGTGTGCGGCTCCTCGCTTCTCTTCGCCCGACTCTTGTCTGCTGTTTTTCAGCAAGATATTATTATATTTTGGTTGTAACATAAAATGTAATTAAGAAGGCATTAAGTAGCGTGCATAAATCATTGAGCCACATGTGTGTGGATGGGCCTCCACCTGGCTGGCCTGCGAAAATGGGAAACTGGCTGTTGTTGCGTAAGAGTTGGCCAGCTGGTGGGAGCAGCTAGCTGGTAGTTGAAACTTGGGCCAAGTTCCCGCCATAGATCTGGGTCTACTGATTGCACTGGCTGCTTTTTCTGTTCAGGCGACATACTGGCGCACAAATTTTTCGCGATTTATTTATACATTTTTTGCTCGTTTAATTTTGGGAGGCAAAGCTGAAAGATTTTTGGAAATGCACTTGGAATATGATTTCTAGGAGAGGTTTTATTTTATTTTTATATAATTTTTTATCTAATTATAATTTCTTAAATATAAGAATTGAAGCAGAAATATCGTTGAAATATAGCTATAAAAGTAAGGACTTGTTTATATTCGCCCTTTAACTAATGCAGTATGAATCTTATTCTTAAATTGATGTGACAAATAAGGCCAAAATAAAGAAAAATATGTGTGCATTATATTATATTATAATATAATATTATATGTAGGCCAAAAATAAATACCCTAAACAGCTTGTTTACATAAGACGTTTTGCCCGTGTATTTCTAAAATGAATGCGCCTAGCTGAGCAATTCGCACAGAAAAAAGAACACGGCCACGAGGCCAAAATGGAAAAACAGGATGAACAGGATGTGCAGTCAAGCGAGTGAGGAGCAGTATAAAAATAAAACTAGCAGCGCTTCCCTCTCACTCGCACACGGCACACAGTGCGGCTGAGCAATGCCAGCAAGCAAACAATGAAAACATAAGCCAAAAAGGCGCGCAACTTTAAACGACTGCGGCTTTAAGGCCGCTGGCCCACGAAATGGCTAAGAAAAAAGTAAATAAATAGGGAATCAGCACAAAAACGTTAAGCCCAAATTCCGGCAGGACTGAAACTAGACCAGATGCAGGATTGCGGCCGATTAGAGTCAGCTGCCGAGATTTGAGTCAGAGGAAAAGCGCGGCGGGAAAATCACTCATGAGAGCGGTGAGCGAAGAATGAAAAAACAAAAGTGGAGTTCGGGAGAGTGCAGCAGCTTTTAGCCGTTTGTTTGTAAACAAAGTGAAAGCTTTTCTCTCAGCTGTTCGCGGAAAGAATCACAGTGGATCAAGTCACGTATTCAGATTGGAAAATTTACAGAGAATATAAGGAAATTATTCCAATGGCGAAGAAATTCTACTTTTATGATTGCTACTTCTATAATTGTTTTGTATTTAATTTTGAAACAAAAAATTCAGTTAAATATCATTGAGGGTACAACCACTTGTATTTATAATGCACACAAATAACAAATGAAAACAAATGTTTAGACATTTTAAATGGCAACTATGCATTTGCTTGCAAGAGCGCGATTAACATGATTTGTTATAACATTAACCATTAACCACTTGTGGTTTTAAATTCATCATTTATCATATATATCCTAATTATCCAGTCGCATGGCAAACGAAAGTGAAACCACAAACGAGTAGCTCAGAAATAGAGCGTATCGTCCAGTAGCAGCATTATAAAATGACTTCTCATTAAATAGTTATCAAATAGCCTGCCATTAAAACTCGACCACACCCAAGTTATTAATGCAATTATCTAATGTGCCAATCAAATTAAATTTAACTTAATGCAAATGAGCGCTGCCAGTGAACGAAACCGAAACTGAAAATGGAATGCTTATAGTTTTCCATGCGACATTTCGTGCTGAGAGTGAACTAATTTCCGAAACAAATCCAAGTCAGATAAAGCCGCACACGTAACTGTTATAGACCTGATCGGAATATCGAAAATCTGCTGACGGCCTTATCAAAATGCAGAGCAGTTAATGAGAGCTTTCTTTTCAGCCAGGCTTTTAAACCCTATCAGTTGTTCCACTAACGAATAACAAATTATAATTATTGCTTGCGTAGGCATTGATTTATGCAATCAGTTAGAAGAAATGTTATCATTATAATTGGTTTAATATAATAAAAAAATGATGGTTTACTATCCATCATAACCATTGTATATGCGCAAAAATCCATAGAAATAGATTATGCAATGCAGTTAATTAGGCAAAGGTATCGTGTATATCTCATAGAATGATTAGCATCGTAAATATGACAAGAAGAGAAAGTAATATATATTTAATGTTTAATTTCGTGAATATCACTAACCTTTTTTCTGGCAGTCCTTCGTCGCTGCTCCGAGGTCTTCCTGTGCCACTTGCGCCGTTCTGCCTCGCTGGCAAAGAGATTCTCGACGCTACTGCTGCTGCTGGGGTCCTCATCCTCTCCAGATGAACTGGATGCACTGGCTTCCATTCTGCCAGACTCGGCATCCCTTTGCCTAAGCTTCCTGTACTTGCCAGAGTCCCCAGAAGAGCTGCTGAGGAATCGCTCCCGGAACGATTTGATTATTCCGGAACTAATGGTGCCAATGCTGCCGCGTCCATGAACTCCGGCCGCGGAGGCACCTCGTCCGGCATAGCTGCTCCTCCGTTTGTTTCTGGGCTTCTTGACTGACTCCGGCGGAGAGTCGAGGTTCTGAAGAGCTGCATTCATATCAAGCCAGCCGGCGGCACTCATTTTGCTTGGCTACTCCCAATAATGTCTTCTAATCGCGATGATGCAATGATTGTCGTCACGGATTCCAAACTCTGGCTCGCATGTCAGGGAGTCGCTTTCTGGTCCCCTGGGTTTCTAACCTTTCGCTGCTCCAGTGGTGTCTCAGTTGGCTTCACTCCAATTAACAATTATGAGTGTCTGCTGCCCGAAAAGAAAGCAATTTCAAGTTTGAAAAATTAGAAGAGGCAAAATTTACATGCTTTCATTTAATCAGGAACCCCATACCCCATTGAATGTGCACATCTTATGCAGATTAGTTTTCATTTTTCGGCATGGATTGTTGAGTTTTGCATAAGAGAGTAATTGCAAGTGAATGATTGTCTGTTGTGTTTGGGCAAACCGAGAAAATTGCACTTCGAATGGTTGAAGAACATGAAAGGAAGTTATAGGGAGTGCCTCGGTGATTGTTAAACTGGAATTCAACCATTTGCATGCGTGCTGTTACAGATCTTAAGTGAAATTCACGTTGAACGAGTGAAGCTTCCAAAATTCAATCACTGATAGCCAAACATGCATTTGTTTATGAAGTAAATGTTATTATTATGCAAGGAAGTCAGTGCTTGAATTCAGCTCTTCCCTTATCAATTATATGTCAGTTAACTTTGAAAGCAGCAGTTTATCCTTTTCACTTCACTTGGCAGAAAATACATTTTCCATTCTGGCTGTGGCATTCATTTGGCCATCTGTCCAATGACATTAATCGATTGAATGCCAATTAAACGATTCATATTTCAAAAGGAACGACGGCGTGCACTCGTTACATTATCAAATCACACAATAAAATGATTTGATGCTGAACACTTTTAATGAATTTCCACTTAATTGGGTCAACTGCAGTAGCCAGCAGCCAGCCGAGTTCAGTTGAAACACATTTAAAGTAATTTAAATTATACTCTGGTAATGCAAAAGCTAAAATTACTCGATTTTCTTTTTTGTTAAATCATGCAGTGGCAAATGAACATGAAAATGCGAATAACAGTTGGATTTCCCTCTCTCTTTCGCTGAGCAAGTGAAAAGCCGTCGGAAAGATGAAAGGGTTCGGGTGATGAAAAACTAAAATGAAATACCACGAATTGTAGTATCATAAAGATCAGAAATATATAAAGCAAATCTCTCTTTCGCCCACTTAATTTTTAAGCCCATATTTGCCGATCTGTAAGGATGTTTGTGTTGGCTGTGGGGAGTGATCTCTTGTTTCCACTTCCACTTCATGAGTGTCTGTGGGCCATTAGAAAATATTTGCCAGAAGTGCACTGGAAATAATTTCTGAACAGGTCACTTATGTTAATTATGTCCAGGGAAAAGCTTCTCAAATTGTTTCTGCTAACCTAAAGTGCTGTAAAACTATTACAAAAAACGATTGAATGAACTGAACTGATTGAATGGACGATTAATTGACCTATTATATAAGTATAATGGGTCATTCTACCTATCTTATTGCTTTATTGAAACTTTGTAAGACTAACGGTTATTACTCGTTTATCTGCGTTAAATGCCCAAATCAATTCCCCATTGATTCCAATTTCCACGGTGTATTGACGTTACGTGCATAATAAACAAACGTTAAACAGACGATGTCGGCGACAGCAGGAAAGAGGAAGAACCAAGAACTCCCAACGCACACACTCCATCACAAAGAAAAAAAGAATGAAAAATTTAACTTAGCCAAAGCAAACTGTCACATTAGCATATTGAGAACCCGGGTTAGCCAGCTCTCTTTGCTCAGACTTGGCCAACTCTGTACACTGCCCGAAGGAATCGATCTAAAACAGAAATAGTGACCTTACACAGAGAAATTTTAATCCAAATTAAGGAAAACGTACCTGTACTCGTTACCTTTTTCTAAGCTAGTTCTAAGAAAAATATATTTATATTATATTCAAGTGTTAAATTTGTAATACCTGTGTTTTAGGAAACCACAAATAACGAAAAATTTAAACGAAAGGTAATTTACATTGTTAAATAACGAAACGCTAGTTCATAAAAGTAAAGTATGAATATTGCCCTACTAATCAATTAGTAATATTTCATCAAGTCCCATTTATTCGTGACTCCAAAGAGGCATCTTACTATTTTTCCTGTGTAAGTTCTGCCGTCGCTCTGCGCCCTGCTCTGCCGGCGTCGCTGCCAACGCACGCTGCGCTGCGCATGCGCAACTTTCTTCGCCCCAGCGGCGCCGGCTGAGACGCCGACTGCGCTGCTTTGGGGCCTCGGCCAAATGGCTTAGTCGCTCCTCTGCGCCAGCACCTCGTATCAGTCGGCTTGCAGACTTTCGCGTGCGCGGTGGTGCGAACTAACCATACCATTCCATACCATACCATACCATACCATACCATACCATAGCGTGGCTTGCTGTATAAGCACCGCCTATTATAGCAAAAAGCAAACAAACAGATCGAGAAATTCGCTGGGATTAGGGCGCGACTTGTTGACAGTTTGCAGTCATGTGAAATGGTTCAATTAGTGCAACAACAATACGACAGAGAAGAAACCGTGTTTGATTTACATAATTAACAAGTGGAGTGTGAACGGGGCAGCGATTTCGAAAAATTCCCGGCTCAGAACGAGCAGAACGAGAATCGAAATATATTCCAGTAACGGCACAGATCGTCGGGACCGCTACGACGACCAAAAGGCTCATTAAGTTTACATGCATTGCATTGCATAACCAGCAGGCAGAAGAAGATGATGATGCTCCACTTACGTCACTGGCCACTGATGCTGGCCATGGCTTCCTGCCTGCTCCTCAAAGCGGCAACATCTGCGACACCAGCAACACCAGCAACACCGGCAACAACAGCAACATCATCTTTATCCTCCATACCGGGCAAATATCAGGCATTGGGTGCAGCCCACCATCAGGCAAAGAAGCTGAAAATCGGAGCCGTCAATGCTTCCTCCTTGGATGCCAATGGCAATGTCCATAAACCTGTACTCCGGCAAAATCCGATCAAGAATTGGTTCGGCGCCTTCAATCGCAATAATTCGCCGGCAGCTCAGAACCAAACGTCGCCGACATGTTCCTGCAGGTGAGTCGCTTGGCTTGAGCTCGTTCCCGTTTGTCCCCCACCAGAGATACAGATACAAAACTTACAAAGTTACGAAGATGCAACACGCACGGCGAGATACAAAAGCTGTCATGGCCATGATGACAACTTCCAGTTAGACGGCCGAAGAAGTGATAAACAACTCTGGCGTTGTCATTGTCACGACACCCAAATGGCACAAACAGTTAAAGTAACAGGTAGATTTTAGTGCCTGCGAGGAGGTCACGCAATCGGCGATGTGTTATTCCTGGCCACACTCCTTCAAAGTCATAGTTAGATGCCACTTAAGTTGCAAGTTCTCCTTTAACTATGGGAAAGCACAACCAAATGATCTTCACATGTCAGGAGGCTTTAAGGCTGAAACAAGAGGTCAACAGGTCACCTCAAATGGCACCTCTTCTATTAAAGGCAGATTTATCATGAGTTGATCCTTCACCCCATATATACAGCGCTATAAATCACGTTACCATTCAATTTATCAATACCAGCCACTGCCTTTAGAACCATTTTAGCCATCTAATGAGTAATAAACTGGGCAGAGGTGAAGCCTTAACCATTTTGAAGATTCAAAGTCCCGAAAGATTCGCCTACCCATTCGTTACCCGTTTCGAGATGCGAATTCCCCGGCTGTAGAATTGCACTCGGACTGCATTCTTGTGTGGCCATTAAGCAAATTGCATTACCAATCGGGAATTCAACTTTGGTATTTGGCATAAGCAAAGACCCTAGGGTATTAATCGAGTCGGCAGTAAAAATGAAAACAAAGGCAGCGGGTTCTTTAGGGACATAAAATGCAATTCTCAAGGTTCAAAATAGTTGAGGTCCAAAAAAGGGCACTCAAAGGATTCCTGTAACTCGAAGATACATAGCTCCCAACTAAATTCCCCCGATTTGTGCTTTTGTAAAATCTCCAAGAGCCATAAATTAAGCCTGAATAGATAGTCGCAACCGTTCTAATATTTGTTAATGAAGACCTAAACCCGTTTTATTTCTATATATAAATTTTACTTTTTTTGCATGTGAAAGAAGAAACGAAACCGATTTGCATACGATTTGATAACAGTGTGTGTTTATACCCCAGCGGAGACAGATGAGTACGGCAGATACTGTAAAAGGCGTATCTCCAATGCGTCATGTCGCATTAATGTCTGTGCGGGAGGCAGGGGAATGCCGTCGACGTTTCTTCGGCTTTTGGCCGTTTTGGCCTGTCTTGGCCGGCTCCTAAGTGGGTCGTTGTCGCACATTCTGCTTCTTTGTTTCGGGACGCCGCTCGACCAGGCCACCATTTTGGGGCAACGACACGATTAAACATACACAAAATCTGAATCCCAAATACTTGTTGCGGCCGGATCGATTGATTATGTGGCCGAAATAAATAAAAAGATATAAAGAAGAGAGATAACTTGTTGCGCTGGAAGATTTTTATTTTGACTGCAAGGCGGTGTTCTCTTGCTTACCACGGGTAATTAAAAACCTGTTTAATGTAACGCAGCTGGCAGCCATAAAATCTGCAAAAATCGCTCATTTATTTTATGTCCGTCTACGAGGCACTTTGACACTTTCTTTCTGCCGGGGTTGCTGAACTCTGAACTTGCGATCGGAGGAGAGATCGGTAGGCCCGTCACCCGTCACCCGTCACCCTTGACCCCATCCATTTTCCTCTTTTTGCGAAAGACATAGACATCGTAAATGCTGCCTAAGTAGATTTGCTAATGAGCTGTCTTGAAAATCGAACTCTGCTTAGAGAAGTTTAATTACGTTGAATTTGAGATGATAAAAACGCTTGCAATGCAAATTTCAATTGGAAACTGACTTTGCTTATTTACGTTGCACTATTCTTCATCCATCGACAGGTGCGGAGAGCGCAATGACGAGTCCAGGATTGTGGGCGGAACGACGACGGGCGTCAGCGAGTATCCATGGATGGCGCGGCTGAGCTACTTCAATAGGTTCTACTGTGGCGGCACACTGATCAACGATCGCTACGTGCTGACGGCGGCGCACTGCGTCAAGGGGTTCATGTGGTTCATGATCAAGGTGACCTTCGGGGAGCACGATCGTTGCAATGACAAGGAGCGCCCGGAAACGCGCTTCGTGCTCCGCGCCTTTAGCCAGAAGTTCAGCTTCTCGAACTTCGACAATGACATAGCCCTGCTGCGTCTGAACGATCGGGTGCCGATCACCAGTTTCATCCGGCCGATCTGCCTGCCACGGGTGGAACAGCGACAGGATCTATTCGTGGGCACAAAGGCTATTGCCACCGGCTGGGGAACCCTGAAGGAAGATGGAAAACCCTCGTGTCTGCTGCAGGAGGTTGAGGTTCCCGTTCTCGACAACGACGAATGCGTCGCCCAAACGAACTACACCCAGAAAATGATCACCAAGAACATGATGTGCTCGGGCTATCCGGGCGTGGGCGGTCGGGACAGTTGTCAGGGTGATTCTGGTGGTCCTCTGGTTCGTCTGCGTCCAGACGACAAGCGCTTCGAACAGATTGGAATTGTGTCCTGGGGTAATGGTTGTGCTAGACCCAATTATCCGGGGGTTTACACCCGAGTCACGAAATATCTGGACTGGATTGTGGAGAACTCGCGGGACGGTTGCTTCTGCGACGAGGATTACTAACATCAAGAGAGAGTGCTCAAAGAGGTGGTCATTCTTCGCCTTAGTCTGTAGTCAACACCGTAGTAGTTTAGGTCATATTTTGTACTTTTATACTAAAACAAGTGAATAAATATAAACAATGCAGTAGGTTAGAAATCCCTTAAAGAACGCGTCTCACTTATTGGTTTAGACAATGCAAAAAAAAACATTAAATATATATAAACATACAAATATCGCAAAATAAAAAAATTCGCTCAAGCGAATTTACCACATAGCAGAGCAAGGTTTCGATCCTCGGACCTCTGGGTTATGGGCCCAGCACGCTTCCACTGCGCCACTCTGCTTGCTTGCATAGGGTGGGTCTTAGAGCGAGCTAAGTACAATCGGAGAGCAGCGCACTATGTTACCGACGTAGTGCCTGTTTACAGTGCACTGCTTTCTTAACAGCTCTTTTGTCGCTTACAGCTCTTCCAGAAGCAGTTTCAAAATGGTATAATATTACTATAAGAACACGCGTTGGAGTAAAAGGATGTACTAGTGTCACCACTTGAACAGTTAATGTTTACCTACAGTATTTAATAGATTCTATTGAGTATTGCCTTTCCTTTGTACTTACGCGAACCCAAGAGCCACTCGATTTCAAGCAAGCAGAGTGGCGCAGTGGAAGCGTGCTGGGCCCATAACCCAGAGGTCCGAGGATCGAAACCTTGCTCTGCTATGTGGTAAATTCGCATGAGCGAATTTTTTTCTAAAAAATATTAACTTCGTTTTTCATCCTATAAATGTCCAGCGATGTGTTTGCAATGTAGGTAATAATAATAATAATATGGAATCTTAGTAACAGTAATAAAAAGCCGCGACTTAGCTTTTCAAGTATGCATAAAGTATGGAACATAAACATTCTATAAAGTTGCACAAAAAATATATATACCCCACATTTTGCACCTTCGTAAAAATTGTTTGATTTGAACATCTTTCCGGCAAAACTGGCTTTTTTTAGCTCTGGCTAAGAGAAATTTCAACAGGTGCTAAATTTGTTTCCATTCTTTATTTATCAATTACTTGTATAAACTTTTAGTCATCTCCCGAAGATTATACAGCTGACAACTGCTGTTCCGCAGCCAGTTAATTGCGCGCGTAGTTGGGTAAGATACAGTAGCCTTCAGCAAACAGACACAGTTGCAGTTTGAAGTCTAAGCTTTCAGCGGCTTGATGCGGCCCAAAAAACAAATATAGTTAGAAACATTAGCTAGTCTGCGGCAAACTGGTTTCCATCGAACAGCTGTAGAACAAGGTGGCAAAGAAGAGATGAACAGAGCTTAGAAGAAGACGTTGACTTTAAAAGTCAAACGTCGCTTTGGCCAGAGCAGCAAAGAGGTTTTCTCGTTTCGAATGTTTATTTATGACATCTATGGGTCTTGCCTAATGAAACTTACGCGTAACTGCGGATGAACGATACCGAACCAAAAGATTGCTGATAGCCTTATCTTTTTGTCGTCTTTCACTTGGTTATAATTGGTTACTCATCACAATCACAGTGATCACAGGAAAATTGACGTCAATTTCCACTTTCGCTGCGCCCACTTTTCATTTCATTTCATTCCACAACCACACTCACGTGTGCCGCGCCTTGCGTAATTATTTAAATTCAAAATTTTAGCAATGCATCAAGATTCGCATTCGCGCATCTCGCAGATACACTTCGTGTGCACAGAGGGGCGCTCCAGGTTTACGTTTTGAAATTTTCTTTGCCACAGTTCATTTTTCACATTTTTCACGTTGCGTTGGCAGCAGTTGTTGTTTACCGTACGCCGATCGCGCGCTCACTGAAAAAGCCAGCACAAGCTCCCCGCGCACCCAAAGATACACAGAGAGCCATCAGGCCAGATATTCAGACGGATGGAGCGCCGCCTGAGATCTCGAGACCTTTTCGTTTGGCCACGATCTCGGAGTTTCCACGCTCTCCCACTGGTCGGTCATATGAATGAATGAATATTTTCGGTACATGGAAAGAAAAATGATACCAGAATTTGTCACTTAATGTATATTTAGATAGAATTTTCTGCTAAATATATGCATTCATAATTTATACCTTAATTTATTATTTATTAAGCTCACACCTCTGCAAAATGAAAATATATTTCCAAATGCATGAGAATGTCAACCATATCAGTTTATCACATTTGAATATGGAACTGGTAGAAACTTTCTTAAATGGTTTCAAAACCTTTTTTCAAAAACCTGAATAGCAAAGACAAGTAAGTAATCTAGGAGGCCAGCCAATAACACTCACTGTTTCATCACTTCAGGAATAAGGCTAGCCTCAAACATTGTCTCTGAAATTTTACCCTCAAAACAAATATTAAAAAAATTTCAAAATGTCTTCATCGACGTCTTCGGATAAGCCGACAACAAGCTCTGCCGTGGTTAAGTCCAAGGGAAGCATTGAAGCCCTCGAGGAGATCGACAACCGCCTGCAGGTCCTCTTGGAGCGCCTATCAACTTTGGAGAAGTCAATGGCTAACTTGAGTGTACATCCCGCGGACGAAGACGATGGCGACGACTATCAGGACTTGAAGACCTTGGAGGATGAGTTGGACGAACAGGAGAAAGATATTGGAGCTGTTGGTGAAATTATAGAACTCGATAAGGAAGCCACGGAAAATAATTGATGTGATTGTTTTGCATTACATAATTGTGCTTCATGCTGCAGTTTTCTATACATTATGCATATCCATGAAAGTTAATATGAATGGTACAAAATAAAAAACCGTGCCGAAATCCTTTTATAGGCTTGGTTTCTTCACATCACCGTCAGCTTAAAGAAACGATTATTCTTTTGAATTTCGTTAACATTTTGGTCACACATTTGGTTTCGACATTTTGGTTACACGCCAATTCTACATTGGCTCAAGTGCGACCTCTGGCGTTGGTGAATTGTACAGCCGCAGATGTATTTTACTCATTTTTGAATTCCGGCAACGCCATATACGAGTAACGTTTTCTTAAGTTGAACTTTTGATTTATACTTTAAAAATTAAATCCCTACAATTAAAAGCCGAAACTCAATTCTTCTGTTACGTTTTTGTATTTTTTCTTTTTCCATTTGTTTTAATACAATATATAAAAACCGATAAAAAATCAAAAATAAATATAAATATGTAGGTGTACACAGTTTAGTTTGAAATGCGTTTGATGGCTGGCAAAAGTCAGGGCTGTCTACGAAAGATACAAAATTACAAAGCCGTGGCTCGGACGCTTTTCTATGGCCATGTTAACGTAAATAAGACTTCAGCTTTAAGATTTATCAGTAGACTACAGTTACAAATTAGTTATTGCTCTTCATTTCGGGGCTAATTGAAAGTGATGTAATTTGATGAAAGTGAAAGTAATTTGCTGGTTACATATGCGCGTATGCATAAATATAATACAAATTAAATAAGTTGGTGTAGGTGTGTTTTTTTCTTACGGCTCTAGGGGCTAAAGTGTTTATAGTTAATTTTTGCTAAACGATCACATTGAACAGGCACTCCGCTCGCACTCACACTCACACTCGGTAAAAGCACTCACTCCGCGACATTCACGCACTCACTTGTTCATTCATTCGCTCTCTGGCTTACAAAATACAATTTCGCACTTAGACCTAGAGTGTGGGGAACAGGGGTGTTTGAGGGCTTACTGAACTAAAATGGGCTCGTTACGTATTCTCTCTCCTCCACTAATTTCTTGTTCTCCTATCGGGTACCATTAAATAACCGCTTTAGATCGGGCATTTTCTGATTTTTACAATAGCTGGGAGTTTCCAAAAATCAAATTTTAGACTTAATAAACTTTGTGTCAGCTCATGAATCACCAGCTGCGTGAGATTTCATCTAATTCAAATTTGAAAAAGTTCCTGACGAGAGTAAAATTCGAAAAATGACCATTATTCTTGATTGCGTTTTGATTGCTACTATCAAAAGTTTTTATAAAATTTTGGACTCGCATTTCGTATATAAGGGTAGCACGTAGTTCTGCTAATAACATTTTGCTTCACGGATGAATGACTGAGAGGTGTAGGGGATGCAGCCGTGCTCCATCTTGGCTGCATTTCGCACGTTGAATAATCACAGCAAATCGGCGCAAACGCCGCCGAACCACGCCATATAAAGGGGCAGCAGATAAACAACCAGAGCGCGACGCAGCGTCATCTTTTCTGGGGCATCGGATGATCGATTGTCATTGGCCCCGTCGTGGCCAGCATCCGTGTCCTCATCCTCCTCCAGCTGCCTATGATCCTCATCCAGATCGTTGTGATCTTGGTCGAAGTGTGTGGTGTGGATGAGCGGATTCTTGTCGTCCACTCCGCTCGTCGGTCGCGATGTGTGCGTGGGCATGTGGCCCCGTCCACCGGCGTCCTCGTCATCGTCGTTGTCTGCGTCCACCGAAGGACGCTCCACGTCCGGCTTGTGGCTGGGCTCGAAGGGTCCCAGGCCAGAGCCCTCGTCGTCGTCCTCGTCGTCTTCGGACCCGGATCCCGAACCTGCTCCACTACCCGCATATGGCAGCTCTTCTGTAAAAAATTAGCAGTTAGTAAGTTGCAATAAATACGAATCACAAGCATATATTACCTTGCTCGCTCCACTCCACATCCTGACCGTTGTAGGCATTTCGAAGGTGGACAATGGCGTTCTTTAGATGGCTAAGTTGAGAGGCCATTTGAGCAGTTTGCTTGGTACTGGCAGGATTGCCGGTAAACTCTGGATTTGAACCGTGTTCCGTTGTGATTGAGTGCATGTATCTGAAAGACACAATATATTTAAAAAAGCTCGGCTGAATTTATTGAGTTTTTTCTACCTACCTATCAATTGTGTGACCATTCCAGCACATGCCGTCCACATCGGAGCTGGAGGCTATATCCTCGTTACTGCAAACCGAGTGCGGCAGATTGGACCAGAACTTTTTGTAGTCCTTCACTCGCTGGCGAATGTCCCTGACGATCCTGTCCAGGATCGGTTCACGTCCTCCGCCTCCACTTTCATTGTCATCGTCGTCGTTCTCGTCGCGATTGTTTTGCTGCTTGCGTCGCTGTTGCTGCTGCTTTCGACGTTGCTGTTGCCGCCTGTTGTTACCGCCACCGCCACCACCACCTCCTCCGCCTCCTCCTTGATTTCCACTCTTTCCAACTCCCTGCTCCTGAGACTGTTGGGCCGAGGACTCCTGGGAACCGGGCTCAGCGGCTCTGCGCTCCCTCAGCACTATCGCCTCGTCCAACGTTTCATCAATGTCCAGAGTATCCGCCTCCACAGGACTCTTTGCGTTGAGCACTTGGACTCCTTGCAGCTTGGGGCTGATGGACCGCTTCATTTTCTTCAGCTTGGGCCTGCCGCATCCTTGGAATACGCGATTGGTGATGTCCTGGCCAGAATCCTGAAAAGATTTTCACTCATTAGGGACACTCTCAATTACTAACTAGAAACTATACATGAACACAAATAAAGTAGAGTCAGTTCGACCTAAGCGACCCTCCCGGAAATGACAGCACATAAAAAACCGATATTTAATATTTTTCATTTTATAGAATTTAGAAAGTCTTGCGTTGAAATGACTTTTTGAAACCAGTTGCGCAAGGGAATCACATTATTTCCCATACTCAACAGCAATTCCATTCACACCCCACTGACTTTGGCCTCCTAATGGCTATTTATAGTTGGTTTTTATTGACCCATTCAATAGATAAGAATTGATTGCATCGGCTACTCATTATGGGCCACTCGAGCGATCAGAGACCTCTTCCCGAAGAGTCAACTCTACAGAAGCTTGCGCTTCGTCAGTCTTATCGGCACTCCTATATCTCCTGTGTTATTTCTTTCAATGGCCCCTTCTCGGCTCTTACAGTTTACAGTTCATATAATTACGGAGCTTGGGTCAGGTTGGGGTACGGAGTTCCTCAGTTCCAGATCTCGAGAGCCAACTACTGTTCATCATAACTGTCGACCCGACTGGGAGATGGCAATCATCAAAAGCGGTGCGTCGGTTCAACGAGCTAGGAGATTGGGTAAACGCCTCGGAAACAAATCAGAATTAAAATTGAATACTATTTCGCATTTTGCATTTTTGGCCTTTTATGGGGCCGTCGACCAGCAACAACAAACACCGGCAAATGTAAACACATTAAAAGCCAAATGCCGAAACACTAACAACAAAGCAACAAATAGATACAAACAAAAACAGCGAATAAGAAGAACCAGAGGTTGAAAAAGGAAATGTATAAATTTTAAATGGAAATATAAATTAAATTCATATGCGGGCCAAATGTTGTGCAAATAAATCGTAAAAATGGCTAACAAAACCACTGGCAGCGGTGCTAGAAAGGGTTAAAATATTGCAGTAATCAAAATTCAATAAGTTATGGCCATCCCAGTGGAAATTATTCTTTAGCTTTCTGCTCAAATGTCGCGCATAATATTTGTGTTTTAATAGATTTATGCTTAGGAAGTGTAGGTTTTCGGGATTGTAACATCTTGGCATTTACTTAGAATTGGGGGAGGATGAATCACAGCTATTAAAAGAAATTATTCACTGACATTTGCCTTTTGCGGAGATCTAAGAACTAGAATTTGCTCAGGTCCATAAATTTGTTCTAACACCAAGTCCCACATATCAATCGCCACGATCTTCTACGGTTTTCCCCTCGAATTATTTTGCGACTCGTTTAAAATGTATGCGTATTAACTAACCACGCGTAAGCCACTCTGACGCACTGACAGTTTTATGCGAGCATAACTTAGAGTCCCACTGCGAAGGGGCCAAGAGATACAAATTAAGCAGCAGCTGCTTGGCCCAAACGAGTTACAAATTGCGATTGGCTTATGCAAATGCTAATGGTAATGACTTAAGCACATCCAATTATCCCGCTGTAGATCTCACCTGGAAGTTCATGATGGCCTCGGAGATCTTGATGTTGAGTGGCTCCACCACCATCACAATGTTGAAGGATCCCAGCAGCCGCTCGGCCACCTTGTCCATGGCCATCGCGAAGTTCTCCCACTCGCCGTCGAACTCGTGCTGGTAGTGCAGGCATCCCTTGATGACGTTCACGCAGTAGTTGGTGCAGGGCTTCTCCGTGTAGCCCTTGCAGGCACCGCAGTGCTGCATCTTGGTCAGCGCTCCCGTGCAGTCCGCATTCAGTCGCACCTAGGGAAGCACCATATGTTACTAAATGTGAACGGAAATTCTAGTTAGTTCACTTACGTTCAGGACCTTCTTGGCCACCTCCGAGGCGGTGGTCAGCGCCTGTCCGTAGGTGCGCGTGGCCACGAAGGATCGCTTGATTTGCACGGATAGCTTGTCCGGAACATCTCCGAAGGGCTTCAGCTCCTTCATGTGCTCGCTGACGCATCGCATGTAGCTGGAAAATAGGAGGGCATCGGTGGAAAATGAGTGCGCCATGTTGGGAGTATATTTTCATTGGGCGTGCTGGCGGCAGAAATCTGCGCTTGTAAATGGCACGGCTCAACGCCATCGCCTTCGCCTTCGCCTCCGCCACCAACATCACCATCATCATCATCATCATCATTGGCGCATTCTTTGCCGCCGCCGCACAACAAAAATTTTTATGCGGAAAAATCATAAAAATAGTTTTGCTCGCCATGTGCTGGCTTTGTTGATGTTTTGTTTGCCCCGCATCACCTCTATACAGTAAGTATGTGCCTAGTCCTACGGTTTGGTCATCAAGCATGACAGTCATTGCACTTGTACGGCTGCTTTCGGCCCTCCCTGTCACTGCCTTTGCCATTATG